AAAGAAATAATTATTTAAGTTATAAGAGAAGAGCAAAGAAAAAAAATATTAAAATTTTTCTCTTTTTTATTTGGATAAGGAAGAAATAAAAATAAAGTAATGATTGTGTTTCAGTTGTTTGGCTAGATTTCATTAAAACAAAAACAAAATTAATAACAAGTGCATTTCTGTCTTTGAAAAAAAATCATCCCGATCACCGGAAAATATGCCTCTGAAGGCGGCGGCCGCCGCTTGGCGGAGACGGTCTCCCAGAGCCACCGCCAGAAAATCCACCCGCCCAGTCTCTTCCTCCATATCCACCTCCGATGCTTCCTCTTCTACTCCACCAGTGCCCTCCCCTAAAATCGAAACCACCTCTGAATCCAACGCCAATGAAGTTTCTCCCACAAAACCCCTAGAAACCGCCTCGTTTATCTCCCCTGAAACTCCCAAAGAAGCTGAGAAGATTGCTGAGACAAACCCTAAAAATAGCGAAGAAATGGGGCGAGATGAGAATCCATATGAGAAGGTTTATGAAACCGCTGTGATTGGAGATGGTGTGACGATGGCGACGAAGAAGAAGGGAGCTAAAACTGTGGTGAAGAAGACAGTGAGGGTAGTGAAGAAAGTGGTGAAGAAGAGGGTGCCAAAAAAGGTGCAGGCTTCCTCGTCGAATGAAGAGTCGGTGAAATCAGAAGTGGATAATGATGGTCAAAACCCTAATTCTAGTGTTTTGGGTGCAATAGGTGTTGAGAAGCCTAAACCTCTTATGTCTGATTCAATGGAAGCAGAGAATCTTAAGCCTGATCCTAATGATTCTGTGTCGTTGGAAGTCGAAATTCGTAATTCTGATGTCGCTGTTTCGATGGAAGCTGAAAATCCTAATTCTGACCCTGCCAATTCTATTTCAATGGCAGTTGAAGACTCCATTTATAATGTTACTGGTTCAATGGAAGTTGATAAGCCAGAGGAGGCTGAGGCTGAGGCTGAGGCTGCTGAAGCAAAAGATAATGATTCTTTGAATCATCAAAACTTATCTGAAGCTCCAGTTTCGGATTTGATTGAGGATAAGAAAAATGGGAATGAAGGTGAACTGGTTGTTTCCACAACTGAAGTTCAGTTAGGAGATCAAAAAGTGGGATTAGTTCCAAACCAGGGAGATGAAATTGAGATTGAGAATGTGGATTCTGAAGGTGATGAGGGCAAGAAGGGAGCAAAGCAAGAGGTGGAGAATTGTGATGTTAGTGGTTTGAAGGGGGAATTTGGGATGGGTGATGGCTTAGTATTGAGTGCGGAAATGGAGGCATTGGAGCGGCGTAAGAGGCGCAAGACTGAGATTTTCATTGGTGGGTTGGACAAGGATGCAAAGGAGGAAGATGTCAGGAAAGTTTTTCAGCAGGCAGGTGAGATTGTGGAGGTGAGTTTGGTGATGAATGATAAGACAGGTAAGAATAAAGGTTTTGCATTTGTCCAGTATGCTTCAGCTGCTGATGCTATGAAGGCATTAGCAAAATTTTCCAAAGTTGAGATTTGTGGAAAGCAATGTAGCGCTACACCTGTCGAGGGCAATGACACAATTTTTCTCGGTAATATTAACAAGAAGTGGAAGAGTGAAGATATTGGAAACCTCAGAAGAATGTCTTCGAAAAGCTGCTTAGCCTTTAAAGACTTCAAAGCAGCATCGGCATCTACGGCCCTCCGCTCGGCCATGAACATCAGTGCTTCGGCCTTCTTCTTTGCATCTTCCATCTCCTTTATATCCTCTCCGGCCGCCTTCAAGGACATATCAGCATCAGCCAACATGTTGATCGTCTTAACCTTCTCTTGCTCCTCACGATGCCGCCTTTCATCCATGATGTGCATCCTCTGAATGCACTGCACCAAACCAAAATGTCATATTCTCAACAACCAAATTTAAGTAAATGACAAAGACATAAAAGAAGACTTACTGCGGTTAGCATCTGCACCGAACCCTTGATCAACACGTCGCTTGAAATGTTTTGCTCCGCCATATCCAAAGGTAGCAGCAATGTCTTTGATAAGTCAAAGGCCAAGTCGCTTGAGTAGATTGTGCTGTCCGATGTAGTGATTGCTCGGCCGTTGTGCTCCAAGGGAGGCACCCATTCTTCAACTGAGCCCTGCTCATGAGAACCCCCAGCAACTTCTTTACCTTTGGACCTCTTCCTCTTTGAGGCCCTATCAGCGGGAAGAGCAAGAGTAGCAACGGGAGGAGGAGGAACAACAACATGCTTTTTTCCACCCTTAGACCTCTCAATCGGTGGAGAAGAAACTCGTGTGTCGACCGTCGAAACAGCTAGAAGGTCCTCATCATCAGATCCAAAGACTAAGGCATCAAGATTGAGCTTTTGGCGACGAGCCATTTCGCTTGCTAAGTCTGGCGACGGAGAGTAGCCTCTACTGAGTGATCCACTTGATGAACAAACAACAGCGGAAGAGGAAGCTCCGGTAGTATGGCCAACTTGTTCTTCTGTTTCAATCTCAAGTGAGTCCCTCGCGAAGTTGTTTACTTTGGGTTTCCGTTGGATGACATGTCTGTAAGTTCGCACATAGTTAAGCAAATGCGAGGCCGACCGATCTTCGTACCTTAATGCAACTTTGATATCCCTCGGATGCTCTTTTTCTGGCCTCTTTTTTAGCTTCTTTGAACCTGCAAGTACGAACAATAACACTTTAACGAAGAAAAAAGTCACAGGCGATAAGCGAATGGATAAAAGGAAGCTACAATAAAGAATGACCTGGGTGGCCGTTCTCTCGTGGAACCCGCTTCGATCGGCCCACCTCCTCGGCCGCAAACTCCCAATTACCTCCGACTTGAAGGAAATCAGAGCAATGCTTGTCATTATCAGGAAGTTCAGTAACGAGTTGGAGGTCCAATGACCGAACTTTGACATAATAGTTTTTACCGCCTTTATTACGACACAAGGAGTAGCAATGAAGGATATCCCAAATACCCAAGTCCAAGTCTAAGAGGTCGTTTAAGACCGAGACACCGTTTATCACTCTAAGTGTGTTCATTGATATTTGCATTGGTGTAAGTTCAAAATAAGAAAAGAATCGACGCAACAAAGGGTTCAACGGAAACCTAACACCCCCCTCTACGATGGAGGCAATTGAGAAGGGCATTGTGGTGCTTGTACATGACCGATCTGCGTCAACCGTCGCCAATGTCAATGTGACATCATTGGGAATGTTATATCTTCGGCGGAACTCATCCATCCCTGCCGGAGTGTCCACTAGGTTCCGAAACTTACCCATTGGAGGTGCGACGTTCCACCAAACAACTACACTAAGGATGACTTGCAAGGTTGGAGGTACAATGGCCGACCAAGCAACCGTGTGCTAAACGACTCTCAGCGTTACACTTAACCAAAAAAGTAATGGTGAAGGTGGAAAGGAAATACATGGGTTCTACGACTTACAGTGCCAAAATCAAGGGGAACTTGATGGCGAGCCTCTCCGATGAAGCAGTCCCACTGTGGCAATCAAGAGAAAAATTATGAGTTGCAAAAAATAAAAATAAATAAATAAATAAATAAAAAGAGCAAAAAAAAAAATGAATAAATAAAATTTGTCAGAATAAAGGTTTGGTGATGAATGATAAGATTGGTAAGAATAAAGGTTTTGCATTTGTCCAGTATGCTTCAGCTGCTGATGCTATGAAGGCATTAGCAAAAATTTTCCAAAGTTGAGATTTGTGGAAAGCAATGTAGCGCTACACCTGTCGAGGGCAATGACACAATTTTTCTCGGTAATATTAACAAGAAGTGGAAGAGTGAAGATATTGGAAACCTCAGAAGAATGTCTTCGAAAAGCTGCAAAAGATAAAAGTTGCTTGGGCTGAACCCTTGAGTGAACCAGATGAAGACGAAGTGCTTAAGGTCAAATCTGCCTTCCACATGGGATGAAGAGAAAGTGAGGAGACCACGTTGTTGGTGCAAGCTCCAACCTTTCTCAACAAAAGTTTGGGATTTATAGAAAGAGGACTAGAGGTCAAGCTCAGGTTTTTAAAATTGTTTTAAAATCCCAACGAAGGAAAGCGTGAGAATAAAACCAAAGTCAGACTCTTCTTTCCGAAAATAGGTTCTGTTATTCTTGGAGTCAAAAAGTGAGGCAGGAAGGGAATGGAAAAAATGGGTCTGGAAATCCAAATTTCTAGAGGGAGAAAGTGTTAAACAAAGTGGGTTTGCTTGTTTTCATTAACAAATTCTGAAATGGGCTTGCCTTTATGTCATGTTGACAGCTCCCAAACTAGTCAAATGTGGACACGTGATGGCTCGACAGTCGGAGTAAGGACATTAGTCAGGGCCGAGCTTGAGGTCTGGTGGCAAGGCCAAGATCATGGACGACCGAGCTGCGATGCTCACGGACGAGTCGGCCGAAGCATTTTAGGCCGAGCTAAAGGGCACTTGAAATAACGAAGTGTGAAGTTGGCCCAGCTCCGAGCTTTCCAGGTGAGCCGTGCAAGGAAGTTGAATGCCCGAAGCCTCACTAGGCAACTCTGTCAAACCAGCGAGCAGACAAGTTCAAGAAGCCTAGTTCCCTAGTATGAAGAAGATAAGCAAACTAAGTCGCAGATGCGCCGACCGATCCAACGACGACGAAGGCAACTGAACAAGAATGAATCGAGCACAAATTGGAGATCACCGAGCAGCGTGAAAGCTGGCGCGAACCAAGCTACGGAGTGACGACAACCGACCGAACTCATTCGTCGATGACAACGAATCAAACTAGCGACCGAGCTGCGAATTTGGTGGGTTGTTCTTGTAAGGCCGACCAACGGCAAACCCATAGCCAAGCAACAATCCAGCCGGGCTAAAGTGTACGGGACTCATAAATTGGCCCAACATTTCGATGTGAACAATGGACCAAGCTTGTACCGCGCACGACCTCGGCTGACCGAACAGGCAATGGCAACTTCGAACTAGAAACGGAAGTTGCACTCTGTGATGATTGAATAACAAAGGCTACGGAAGAAATAATCTGCTGGATATGAAAGGAGATGACCACCGAACAAAAAGGTGACCGAGGAAGAAAAAGACTCAGTGAAGAAAGTTGATGACCAAGCAGAGGAGATGAAAAATGAGCCGAACAATTGATTAGCCAATTATGTTCAAATAGGATGGAGCATGACCGACCAAGCTCTGAGCATCACTTTTTCATTTCTTAAATGGGACCGAGCAGACAAAATGTATTGTCGTCTATCCTGGTTGGAGACCGAGCAAACAAAGAAAGCTTCACTTTTTCATTGGAGCATGTTAGACAAATAGTGCAAGAGAGTGATCAGTACGTGGCCTGCAAACATTTCCATAAGCAAACTTGCAAAATTTGATTTGGAGTGTCAAGTTTGTAGGGCCCACGTCTATTTCACCAAGTGCAAAACAGTACCAAGTGCCCAGCAAATGGTTTTTGCATGTTATTACCATGCATGGCAATGGTATTGCTTAGTCCACGTGTCCAACTTTAGGAATATATGTATAAAAAAAATTAAAAAAAATTTCGTGTATATATATATAAAAAATAAAAAATAAAAAATAAAAAATTTCGTGTATATATATATATATATTTTTAAGTTAAGCAGCGACGCTCAGCCGACTGAAGGAGCATCAAGCTAGACAATTACAAGGCTAGTGAAGACACATTTAGTTTAGGGGCACAACCGAGCTACAAAACATTGGGCAGACGCATACATTAGAATGAACAATAATTTTTAATCCAGCTCATGGAGCTCAAATTAAGTTGTGATCACCCAAACTTCGAAGTTGGTGACAGAATTGGCTTTCGCTTCACCAAACGTAAGCGCAAGCCAGGGGGCAAATGAAGTGGGTGAAAATTAATCAAGTCTTGGTGCTAGGTCCACTGCAATACTCACTCCAAAGTGGAGCTAGGTCGGACCTCAGCCCTATGGCCAACACTTGCTCCGAAGCAAGACAATCATAAGAGTTCGGCCCAATGTACGAGCATCACTCAAAAGTGGGCCGGGCAACACGGTGGACCTTCCGGATGGACAGAACCACTCCAAAGTGGGTTGAGCAACATATAGGACCTCCTGGTTGGACAACCGTTCTAGAGCAGACCAATTCAGAGAAGGCCAATTCACTAAAGATCTTTCTTGGGCCCACAAGAGACAAACAACCTTGCTCCTCCCCCTCTGTATGAACAGAACGTGGAGACATGGAGGCGCAGAGGGACAAGGCGCATATATGACAGACCTGCGTCTGAATGGCAGGCGGAGTGGTCGTCCTCTTCCAATGAGAGATGTCCGCTAATGAGACAAACAAAACAGACCTGCACCCGAGTGTCAGGCGGAGTGGTCGTCCTCCTCCAATAGGAGACGACCACGAATAAGACACGTTGGACAGATGGCGGAGAGAGAAAGACTTGAACGACAAACAACCTTCTCCTATAAAAGGTGAACACTATTCACTCTGAAGGGATCCGAAAATGGACACACTCAACACATATACTCTTTGTATTCTCTCTTTTTCCTCTCCCTGAGTCCCTGACTTTACCATCGGAGGGGTTTCCGACCAAACCCCGGTCGGGCAGCCTCACCGTTTGTTACTCTGTACAGATCTTCAATTCCCGGAGCACGGTGTTCATCCACGAAGTTCAACCCTTCTTCATAGTGCGGAAATCACCCCCGCACATATATTGACCCCATAACTTTGGTATAATATATCATGCTCTCATAAACTTTTAACATATGACTTAATTCTATTTTGGATAAATTACATTAACGGTCCCCATAATTTGAAACTTATGTCACTTTGATCCCTAACTTTTTAATTGTGACACATTTGACCTTAAATTTTAAATCTTATTCCAAATAAGGACAATTAAAGATATCAT